CAAGTGCTGCCATTCCAGTCCCCTTCATCCATCATAAAGAAATAATCTTTGAATATCTTATGCCACTCTTTGTGATGTGACCCATTGTTCTGACCATGTAAATTATTCCTGTAAATGTACAGATGACTCCTTGTCTTTAAGCAGATTGGTTGTATGGTAAAATTCATGTGCAGAGTTGTTATATTGCAGTGGAGTGTAGTCACTGCGTATAACTTGTAAACCACCATTATATTAGTTAGATAACTGTATATAACTTGCTAAATTGCTATTGTAAATCAGACTTTGTACCTTGGATAAGTCTGTGTAGCTCATATAGGCAAGGTGCAATTGAAAAAGTTGGTCAAGGATGGGGTTCAAAGCGACTGACCAATTACACATTGGATATTCTCATCAAATAGACACATTAGAATGATCCTTTCAATGTCACATGACATGCATTAAATAATTATTAACAAGCAAATGACAGAGCATACAATGGACATTGTTGTATTCATATAAATTAATCTTAGTTGCTCACTTGCTTTCCATTTTGAAGTCAGAAATTCAAACTTGAATGCCATTTAATCCAAACAACAGGATAAATCCTGTAACGCAATGGTCACTCCTTGAATTTAATATACTAATTATAATTACTTACACTTTGTTTTGTCAGTTTACAGAACCAATTTACGGAAATGCAGATTCCTCGTTTACTGATTTTATGGCACCTGGTGTCATATTGAGGTGAGAGGTCATAGCCTTCAACTTTAAGTATCCATAACCTAGTATTTCCCACATGAGACATCATCTACTGTATTAAGAGCAGAACCTGAAACAAAACAAGTGGGTGCTGTATGGTCAAAACTAGGTTTAACTTTCAATATATTTTTGTTTCTGGCATAGTTTTTGGTTAAAAATCCAGTTTTATCGAAGAACCAATAAGCTTTTCCATGCATATATAATTATAAATATTTTTTGGGGTTTTAATTTTAAATTTGTCAATTTAACAAATTGATAATGTTATTAATCTTTTCTAATAACTGTAGATGAAATGCTTTATATTTCTTTCAAACTTGTGACCAATATACGAGTATGTTACTTTAATTTTTTTCTTATTAGAAGAAATATTATCAATATTACCATAAAATCTGCATGTTTAATAGAAACCAAACCCATTCTTTTTGAGCAATTGAGAACAGAAATTTTACCATTTTTCATATGTGTAAATGCTCAAATAGAAGCCGCATACCCTGTTGCATTTGACCATTTTAATACAGATTTTACAGCACTTACTATAAAATCTGAGAGACAACAACAAATTATCAATCTGTTTTTTTATTCGCAGTATCACATTTTTTCTCGCCGTTGGTTTAACTGCATTGACTTTGATCATTGAAAGAAAAGAAGGATTACTTGACAGAAGTTGGGTTGCTGGTTAGTTAAAATACAATTTTCATATGTATTCAATTATTATAATAACTTTATTACACAACTAAATCATCTGAGGATTTAGTAAGGTAAAGAGAATAACAAGACATAAATAAACAAATGTAATAAGACAAACAATAAAACGGAAAAAATAAAGACTAAAGAAATATCAAAATAATAACTTTAATATTCTCGTAACTTTTAATCAGGGATTTATAGATAGTATCTTTAAGGTATAGTGAAAGGGCTTTTGCATTTTTCATTTCCTCAAGAAAAATATCATCTGGTAAATTAGACTTGAGATCACAATCTTCAAAAAGTCTTTTCCTTTCACTTTTAAAGGAAGGACATTTAAGGATAAAATTCTTCTCATCATCAAGAGAATTTATATTACATCTTTTACATGTTCAGTCATCTAAAAAAATGTTTGGTTTGTTCCTTCTCCCTAGTTCAATCTCTAGATTGTGATCACTGAGTCTAAATTTACTTAACATTTTTCAAAGGTTGAAATTATTATTGTAATAATTCAATTATTGTTGTCAAGAATTTATAAGACAAAGATATGTGACTTCAGATATATCCATGTATTATAACATGCGATGGTGATGCTATTCCATGTGAGGATTTTCTAGTGTACTTCAATCAGACATGTTCCTACCAATGAAAAAATATCAGAGAAAATATAATGAATAATTGAAAAGGTTCAATATTGTAAATAAAAATAGAGCAAAACAAAAGATTATTGCTTCAATAAAAACACATGATAGATTTTCTTTGTGTACATAAAAACCCTAGCAACAGTAGCTTAGGATGGACATTAGCACTTTAAACACCATTGTCAACTTTTGGCACCATCTCTGAAATGATTTTCTACAGTCTGCTTCTTCCCACATGAAAGATTATTGGAAATTGACAAATTTGTTGATAAAAAACTAAAAATAATATCTGAAACTGTCTGTATGATCCAAAATGATGACGACATTTGGTGACTATTTTGTAAAATGTGAAAAGTATTTGCACTGAATTTTGGACAGGAAAAAATGTGGCACTCAATGGGTTAATAGGTAATGTTTTCTTTGCCAAAAATTAATGAACATAAAAATGTGCAAACCCTTTGACGAAAACACTTACAAACCCCCCTCATTTCTTCAAACACATATAAGTCTAAAAGTTTTACAAAATGTGTTAGCCAGTAGCAGCTAATTATGAATTCAGCTAATTATATAATTTTGTTTCAGGTGTGAATGCAGCCGAGTTGATGTTAGCTCATCTCATGACTCAATTTATAATTATGATGATGCAAATAGTGCTTGAATTAGCATTCATATTAGGAGTCTTTAAGGTTCGTTTGTTTGTTTCTTTACTCAGCATCCAATCATATTAAAAGCTTGTTTTGACCCACAGCATGTCTGTATTCAAAGATATTTAATACGTATTTATATTTGGTGCTAGAGAGTCTACTTTACTAATTAAAATTACTCCACCATGATGTTCTGTTATTTCCACAAACTTAAGCATGTCATTCCATAAAAATAAATATAGAATTTATTAATTCATGTTTGTACTTTTATTCAATATGTATAGAATGATTTTATTGAATAAGATTATTGCACAAGTGAGTTGGGGCATGGACCATAGGGAGGATGGTTGAGGTGACACATCCTTTTGATAATAGAGAACACCAGTATCTTTGGCCTGCTTGTTAAAAAGTGATGTTGGTAATTTCTAATTAATTTGGTGAGCTAATTAGTAGTACTGCTGTTGTAATCACACTGGCATTGGGTGTAAATCACCAGTTGTATGATTTCATGTCAACGAAAAATCTATATTATACATTGTATGGGACCCACATTGACCCCCCCCCCCCCATAGTGGTGAGATATAAAGTGCGATACATGTGTAGTGGTTTTAATCTTGCTCATGCAGTACATTTCCATCTTTGTGTTATTTTAGGTTCCGTGTGAGGGCTCCATTCTCTTAGTTCTTATATTAACGCTAATGCAAGGGTTTTGCGGTATGTCATATGGACTACTAATTTCAGCATGTATTGACGACGAAAATGCTGCCGTACAAGTATCGCTTGGATCGTTTTACCCGAATCTACTTTTAAGCGGTGAGTGTCCTTCCCACAATGTCACTAAAGTGGGCGTTGCTATATGATTTATATGTTTTATAGCCCTATGGTGCCCTCATAGTTTTCTGTGCAAGAGGTCTTTCAGGTGAACTCAGGTCAAACACCTGTATTAAATCTTTCATTGAAGCACAAGTTTCTGACATCCCACTAGAATGACGGTCAGAAATGTAAATTTAACATTTTCTTCAGGTGGTTAGTTCAGCTGTTTTTCTATAATATATAAATTCAGTTACTATTATGATCACATTAGAACTGATGCAAACTTTGGGGAATTGAATCCAAAAACACTGTGCCAAATAAACTATCATATTACTTTAAAAATTGCTACTCTAGAAATTAATGCTTTTT